AAAATACCTTTTCATTTCCTAAATGGTTTCCGAAAATACCCAATGTGAAAAAGGGTATCATAGGATACCGAGATGGGTTTGCAAAAATACCCAATCTGAAAAAGGGTATCATAGAATACCGAGTTGGGTTTGCGAAAATACCCAATTTAAAAATAGAATCATTGGAAATCAAAATAGGTTTGCGAATTTTGTTTTAACCCTCAAAAGAGTTCCTAAGGTTTTCAACTTTTCTGATACCTTCATCAATTTTCTGATTGACATCTCAAAAACTCATACTATGGGCTATTTAATTTCAGTCTGAATTTATCAAATAAAAATAATACTTGATTTCAAACTGAAACGTGAGTCTAGGAGTGAGGGGGGGGAATGACTGAGGGTGTGGGTGTTGGTCTGGGACCCACACACACACCCACACCCATGGTGCGGGTGTGGGCGCGCGAGTGAGGGTGAGGGTGTGCTTGTGGCTTTGTGTACTATAGGCTTTAGTCCCCTGCACAAGGGACTAAGCGGGGACTAAGCTTTTTGTGGGGGGGACTAAGGGGGACTTTGCAGGACTAGGGGGGACTAAGGGTTTTTAGTGGGACTACGTAGTATCAAACGAGAAAAGTTTGATTCGGAAGAAGTTGGTGCGGTTTTTTTGATTTTAGAATTCAGTTTGAAATAAAAAAGCCCATAGACTCCAAAAACTTCGCAAAAGGATAGATGTGGATTTCAACTTTATTTTTTTCATATTCTTTCTCATGCTCAGCTTTGAACATTTTTATGAAACAACAAAACACCGATCTAATTAATAATTGCGTATTGAATTATTCAAAATTGTTCCTGTGTAAACAGTTCCATGAAATGTGAAGCCAGATCATGCTTCATAAATAGTGGAATGTTATTTGTGCGTTTTACTGTTGATCTTATTCTTCGGAATATAAAAGAGAATACAATATTAACAAATCGAGAACAAAATAAATAAATTAGACAATTACCATATGTCTTTTTTCTTCCTTTTTTGGTTGAGTTTCGCTAAAGTAAGAATTATATTGTAGCTATCATGGATGTCAAAAATTACAGAAGGAATGAATTGCAGAAATTTCTATTCTTAAGTGAGAATTACAGTTGGTTTATTTCTACAGATTATAGGCTTTTAAAACAAACAGAAAACTGCAACTTAAGTCCACATGTTAACAAATTAATGTCATTTATAAGACATATGAACAATATGTTTTCATATAACTTTCACAAGAACATAAATCATGGATCTGATACTTTTGTCTTGTCTCCAGTCACTTTCTAGCTTTGTTCTATAATCGAATAAAAGAAGGGTTCAATCTGTAAAGTACAAATTAATCCAATTTCTCTTATGTTTAATTATGATTCGCTTTAACTTGATTAGGTTGTGTCGTACTAATTTTGAGATTGGTCGAGGGCAACCGATAGACGAAGTAAAATAAGAAAAACAATGGTTATTTCATATTTTCTAATAGTAATAAAATATTATATTGAAAAAACACTAATTTCTAAATGTAGAGAAGATCGTTAATCATGTTACAATCTTGTTTATAATTTCTCCGTTAGAGAATAGTTTATTAGAAGTTTTAATAAATTTTTCGTTTTGGAAGGGAGACGAAATTGCTTATATTTACATCGCCTTCATCGGAGACTTAGCTGAAGAACAACTTTTATTTTTACTGTCAGTATAAGAGAAATTTAGCTACAGGTTGACCATTTAAGCGTGCTTTTTATATTTGTTCTAAGTTTTATTTAACAAAAGGCTTTGGGACGTCTCTTTTATTACGGAATTTGATGCTATTATTATATATGAATATAAAGATGCCTTAATACTAGAAGAAAGAATAGTTAGAATACTTTTTTAGAGATGAATTTTAGTAGTTTACTCACGTGGAATACAATGAGCATATTTCACACTACATATTCAACGAATGGTTGCTTATTTTCTAAGCATTTTCAATTTGAATGATATCAGGGTCCTCAACTATCGAACAAGACACCAGAATAGCTATGCGAGCTGATCCTTTTATTTCTGATTGCATATCTATCGAATAACGTCTCTATAATGAGTAGAAAACGCTTCGCTAACGATACTTTCCCCTACAAGCACGCTCAAAAGCAAAGATTTTCTTATATAGAAGCATTTTTGACTTGAGCAAAATACTGATGAAACATATTATATTGATCAAAAGCTTCTACATTAATTCCTCCGCTTTATCAATCAACTCTATCTGAGTAGCCGTCCCATTCTCTTCGATTTCAATAATCTAAGATCATATTAATGATCAACTCGAAAATCTGTTTCACTTTAGGAAATGTCGTACCTTCATTTCATACCTCGTTCGAAAGCTTACTATTCTTATGATTTCGGTCGTAAATTCATCTCGATGAATTCTATAATTCATTCGATGTTACATGAAATGTTTTTTTTTCTTACATATCTAATCATCTCAACAGGTAGATGAGTTGTTTTAAATGGCTTCATAAAGTATTTCTAACTTACCATTTATACTTTTCAATACTACATTTTCTCTATCTATTCAGGGTGTTTATTTAATTTCATGAATACAACACTTTCCTAATTTTTCTTTTTCTATCATAACATGGCTCTGGAATTCGGTGAGTTCTAATCAACTAATTAAATTAAAACATATTTTCACTTTTACTTTTTAGACTCGTTTTAGATAGCCATATATCCCGTAATTTTATTCCAAATATTAAATTAAAATACAATTTCATTTTAATTCATCGATTTGTTTCGAAAATCGAAAAAAAAAGCGTGAGTTAATTCATTTTATTAAATAAAAATACAATCTTTAACTTTTGTTTGGAGATTCGATCCGAATTTATCAATATATTGAGTGAGTTTATTCCAATTACTAAATGAAAATGAAATTCTATTTTTATTTTTAGATTCGTGGGATATCGATAGATCTAGTGAGTTTGAATCAATTTATCAAATTAAAATGAAATTTTGTTTTTATTTTTAGATTCGTTTTATAACTCAATATGTCGGATGAGTTAATTGGAATTACTAAATAAGAATGAAAGTTCATTTTTACTTTTAGATTCGCTGTCTGGCAATAGATTCAGGGAGTTTGAATCGATGAATTAAATAAAAATACAATTTTATTTTCAGTTTTTGGATTCATGCGATATTGGTAGATCCGGTAAGTTTCAATCAATTTATTAAATTAAAATAATATTTTATTTTATTTTCATCTTCGTTTTATATTTCAATACATCATGTAAGTTTATTTCAATTACTAAATGAAAATGAAGTTTCGCTTTTACGTTTAGATTCGTTTTATATCTCAATATATCTGGTGAGTTTACTCCAATTACTAAATGAACATGAAATTTTATTTTTATTTGTAGATTCATTTAATATCGATCGATTTGGTAAGTTTGAATCAATTTTCTAAATTAAAGTTTCATTTGTATTTTTAGACTCGTGTGATATCGATATATCCGGTGAGTCTGAATCAATGCATTAAATAAAAATACAATTCTATTTTCATTTTTAGATTCGTTTTATATCCATAGATCTGGTGAGTTGGACAAAAATTCTTTAAATTAAAAAAACAGTTTCATTTTTATTTGTAGATTCGTTTTATATCTTAGTATATATGGAAAGTTTGTTCAAATTATTGTACGAAAATAAAATTTTATTTTCATCCTTAGATTTGTTTTTTCGCAATAAGTCGGGTGAGTTTGAATCAATTTAGTAAATTCAAATATAGTTTTCTTTTTATTTTTAGATGATTGTCGTATGGTAACGTTTGATGAGCCATGAAATTCGTTCATTAACTATTTTGTTGAATTATGTTTTACATGCGAATGGGTGCTCATTAGTTTTGATGTGGTTGAATGTGAAGAAAACGGGTGAGTTTAGATGATTTTCGATGAAAAATTGCTTCTTTTGTTCATTTTTTAGGTGGAGAAGGCCGTTATATTTAGCTTCTTGATGGTTTGGTAATGGTGCGACGAAGTGCATCTGGATAATTAAAGTTTTTCTCTAAATTCTGTGTGTTGCTGACCTTTAATGACTGTTCTAGTTATTTCTTGGTGTGAATAGATTCACAACAGAACCTCATTGAATGTCTGTGGCCGCTGTGAATGCTTGTTCCTGCTGGCAGAGAAGTGATGGATCCCTGTCTAGGCTAGTTTGGTAGAGCTTTAACCGCATTCGGAAACCTTTTCTTTGGGTTTCCGAAGAGGTATTTGAGGTTTAGCTATAATGGGTTCTATGGGTTTCCGAGGTCTCGGAAACCCTTCTTCGGAAACCCTTAAAGGGTTTCCTATAGTAACAAACTCGGAAACCCTCTAAGGGTTTTCGTGAATACCTATTTTTTTTAGAGTGTACATTTATACTCTTAATCGTTTGACCAACTAGTACACTTTGAATAAATTCTACAATTGAATACAGTTCATCAGTGCTAATCTTAATCAACAAAAACTAAGTTATTCACTAGAATATATATTAATGAGAGAGGCTCAAGGTGACACTCTTCAGTATAGTGAAACGATTTGACATGTATGTATAATACTTATGTGAAAAGCCATATTTCAAATAAACATGGTTGTAATGAAACTATTACTTTCTACTATGAGTTTTTGAGTTATGCCAACACAACGATCTACTCTTTAGAAAAAATTGCTCAAATCTCATTCATCCAAAGATGACTCTGTACTTCAATCACATAAGAAAACATTTTATGTGGCATACTGTGTTACGATAACTAAAACTAATACACTATTTCTCTTAATGATTATCTCGTTGAAATCGAGTCAAAGATTTACATTTACATCGTACATATTTGATAAAATATTTTCTGAATGGCAGTCTTATAATTGTAGAATATGATTCTGACTATCGTATGGATTCGTGTTATTGTTTTTCTATAGTTTATATGTTCATTGCTATGATAATATTTAGAATATCGTCTTATTATATTATAAAAGATCAAATTTTTGTTTCGAACCATTGAAATCTCATATTACACTGATTCTATGTGTTGTCTTAATTTCAATTCGAATTTATCTTGACCAGAGTAATTTGCTGTTCTGACGATCCATTGACCATCGAACTGTTGTGTTTGATCATTCCATTTCAAATCAATTTTAACTTCATGTCCAAGATTTTCACGAGGATCGCCAGTTCCACGTTTATATTTTTTCTGCAAAGTCATACAATTGCCATCCGTTGAGTAGCTTCCTGTAACATCAAACGAACCGACATCGTCTGTACCATTACCTTGAACATTTCTATTATCAAATTCGAATTGAGTAAGAAAAGGTCCATGCCATTTAAAATATTGATAGTAACGCATATTATAAAAGCCTGATTGAAATACGTTTGTTGTCGATGTTTTAGAATGTAGAATCGGAGGAAGTTTAGTGAATGACATAGAAGAAGATTTAGTATTCGGAATAGAAGGAAGTTCGGAATGTACAAGAGAAGGAAGTCTACGAAGTGAAATAGGAGGAAGTTCTGAACGTGG